GTTTACTGATAGTTTAGTTTAGTTTACTGATAGTTGAGTTCACTGATTAGTTTACATGTAAAATGATTAGTTTACATGCATTTTTCTGTTAAATGAGAAATGTGTGTGGTTTATGAGGGTCCAAGGAGATAGTTTAGAAAGATTGCTTTGTCGTCAGGAAAATGGATATTTAGTGATGCTGTATACATATCTAAACTCTCAAGGTGTAATACATGTAATAGACAATTAGGGTGGCCTTGGTACATGTTCATGTACGTTTAGTCAGTGGCAGAAACAGGATGAGGATAAAGCTTGGCCCAATTCATGTAATGACCAGCAAAATACAAAACAAACAAATAACTGGTTTCATCTCTGTGAAAATGTACTCAGCTCCTTTTAGTAGACTCAAATAAAGAATTTGTGACTCCAAAAGTAGGAGGACTAGTAAGTGGGAGACCATTGAGTTTGCCTTGGATAACTGATGCCATCCCTGTCTTTGGCAGCTTTTTGGAAATTGATTGATGACATACATTGGCTCTATGTATCACGTGCCCAAAGGAGAAGATTCGAACATTAAAACGAAGTGTGGTAAATGGTCCATGCATTTCGGACCAAATGAAGGTGTGGAGAAAATCTGGAGAAATTAAAAAACATTTTCACAGGTCAGGCATTTGAATCTTTTGCCTGGCATATGAAGCTACATGTACCATGTATGACTGTAATCAACAACGTGGCAGCCTTCCTTGGCATATCGGCAAGTACAGGTACCGTAGAAGACTTGATCAATCTCTTTATCATCACTTGAATGACCCTCAATCGGAATTCTTCACACTTGGCTAGGCAGCTGTGGAGGGAAACTTTCCGATAATCCCTTGCTGTGCCACGCTTCAGGTTCCAAAAATAAATCCGAGTTGGCCTGTGGTTTAGTGTGGTTCAGGAGGTCTTACACTAGTGAATTTTTTTTTTAGCTTCCAGTTCGGATGCAATATGCATCAAACTGCAGTCCACGAAGGTGTTTTTTTTTTTTTTTTCACTTTGTTTTGCTCACTTACAGTCTTTGCTTTTGCCGTCCAATGATTGATTTTCTCCTTTCCGATTTGTGACTGTCTGTGTGTATTGGCTGAATCACAGCATTGCTGTCGAGTCTTTGAAGCTCGGTTTCCGTTTGCTTGCTGCCCCCTCCCCTCCCCCGGCAGTTTGACCGGCATGTAATTGAATTGTCTGCTTCTCTTTCTCTCTCCTCTTCACTTTCTCTGTTGTTTTAGGCTGAGTAAGCCCTGGGTTGGTTAAGTACAGCTACCGGTACCCGTAAACGTGTATTTAACTGCTCAAGTATTTTGGTTTTGTTTTTGTTCTTGTCTTTTTTTCTATCCTGTTGGAATTTTTTTGTGTCATTCTTTGCAAGGAGACCTCTCACAAAGTACTCCAAGAAATTTCTCTCGATTCTTTCATTTATACCTGAGAGGAACGTGTACATGTAGGTTTATCTGTATAGGCCTTATGCATTTTCTGTACCTTTGGCACTCAAATATACTGCAGAGAATTCTGTTACAGATGTGCCCGATCTGCAGGTGTCTTTTTTGCAATCAGTAATCTACATGTATGAAATCACGTCTTCTGTAAGATAATACACTGTACGTGTACATGTGAGGAATGGGTGATATGCAAGAAGAGCTATTTGAAAATTGAACATTTTGGCAGGACAGCAACATTTTATGTATGGGGGCGCAAAGAAATTGAAACCTTTAAAATCCCCTTAGGGCATCCTTTTTATTTCTGTGGTTCTCATTTCTGGCCAGCCTTTTTGGCTAGGCGGGGAGGATATTTTTTTTTTTTTACCCTAACCCCCTAGGGTGTATGTAAAATTGTATTGAAATTGGAGGATTTGAGACTGTTAGGGTTAATGTTCCTGACGGCCCTTGCAGTATTTCCTGACCAAGAAGAACAAAATGAGAAAACAGGATTATCCCTGAACTTTTTAGGAAAAAATGCTGACATTATTGTTAAGCATGTTCAGTGTATAACATACCTGCAGCATTTGCATTTTTCTGCACAACGTACCGGTATATGTATGCATGTACAGGTGCTAGATGTACATGTACGAGTACTCTACATGTTCAGGTGTAAATGTGTACATGTAAATCATGTTAAGTGTCAGGCATGTGTACATATGTACATGTACAATTATGAAGTAGTGCAGGAAAATGGTCTACATTAAAGTTGCAGGCTAGTATGTTTTCAACTTGTAAATCTAAATTCCATCTTTGAAAACGAATAAACCTATTACGCATTTTGCACACGTATGTCAGACATACATGTATACAGACGGAATGGAAAGGATATGTCGGACATGTACATGTGCACACAGCAAGGAAAGGATGTCACTGCAGGTGGTAAATGAAACAACTTAAATTACATCTGTATATGTGTCTCTTGCAAGCTTGTGGTGTGCTCTGCAGTGCAGATTATGGTCTGTCATTAAAGGTTTCACTCGACGCAAGTGTATCTAAGAAGTTGACAATGTACATGTATGTTTTTATCTGGTATCTGAAATGCTGCCAGGAAGGATCAACAGCTTGTAGAACTGTGAGGCAGGCCTGGATCTTGGTTTTGCAAGCCGTGTGGAGTCAAAATGAACACCAAAAAGCTGAGAGGATTGTGTGAAATGCAGAAATGTCAATTTAATTTAATACAATCTACTCACACAACACAGTAAATGGTAACAAGTGGAGAAGCTGTCAGAAATTTTCCAGCAATGATACTGTGGTCACAAAGCAGTACAAGAGGCACATGTACTGGGTGTACTCAGTTATGGAAATCCAAATGTCACTAAGGGAATGTAATTAGATATAAGAATTTTCAATTTGCAAGGCCACCGTATAATAGTGGGTCAGGTAAAAAAAAACACCTGCAAGAAATAAATTGAAAGATTGAGTATCCACCTTAACCCATAGTTTTGCAACGTATTACACAAATTGGTCCAAAAACTCACAAGACAAATTCACATTAAATTGCTGAATTTAACAATTTACAAAGTGACTATGTCATACCTTTAATCAAAGGTGTTTTCACAAGCCTCGCACTGTAAGCCAATGATGTATGTTCCTTGTAAGCAATTACGGCAACATTTGGTAGTGATGGGCTATTGGACTTCAAGAGGTACATGTACATGTATATAGACTGTAATTCCAGCAGACAGAACTCAACGTAACAAACGAAGGTAACCAAATCCAGACTAAAGAAAAGTCTGTCCTTAAGGCACAGCTGTTGGTGCAGGAATGAGCTTCCAACCACATGTACACGTTCTTAAAGGAGAACTATGCCCTAAATGGCTCAATAAGGTCTAAGAGTCCCAGTACATGTACCAAGAACAACTTGGTACATGTATTTGTACTCAAGGTAAGGGATGTGGGTATATAGAAAGTTTAGAACAATGAAATACGGTACTTGACCAAGAAATACCGCATTTAACCGGTCGACCATGCCCAAGGGAAGGCTGGTTACAATGGTAACCATTACATTTGAGAATTAGATTGTCAGTGCAGGTATCCGCCTTGAGCGGGACCAAAAGAGGGCCAGATTTTCCTCGATTGCAACAGAGGCTCTTTTGGTGGGGAATGAACTTGGCTGGTTCACAAACAACTGTGAAATGCACACCTTACGGTCACGTCACTACCGGTACCATCCGATTTAATGAACAAAACCCCACCAGCATGACTCTTATCAACCGATTCTGCTCAAGGCAGATAACCTCAAGCAATTATGTTTATAATCCAGTTACATACACACACTTGTATATGGATTTCATGGATTCAGTGGATTGGGTTTCATTGCACAATGGGTACCATATCTTTATTACACCCTGTCACTGTTAATGAGAATCCTCAGATAATGGTGCACTGCTGCTATATGCCACCGGTTGATCTATACATGTTCATGTATACGTTTGTGTACATGTACACGTGTGTGAAAGAGTCGCACTCTTCCATGTTGCCCTGCACAGTTCTTGTACCAGAACCAATGCAGAACTGATATTGCATTAATAGGCAGCTCTGGAAAAATCACACCACATACACCCCCATGTGGCTACCGTGGCTACCGTACACACTGTAAATGTACATGTAATTACTGCAACATTTATGTATGGCACTGCATAAGTCAAGGTGCAACCTGTGCCGCACGCTATAGCGCCTTGACAGGTGTATGTATGATGCATGGACCCAGGGACCAGTACATGTGCACCTGGAAATGTTTGACTAGACTATTAAACCTACCAGTACATGAATGTCATGTGACTCATAGATCTGTGCACGTCGCTATCCCAAGAGATGTTTTAGGTAGCATTTGAAAATATCGGCATCCATATTTGCCTTTGAAGTGTAAAACAGGTTGTCCAAGAAGGTAAGGATTTGAATTTACATGACATGCATTACGTGAGTGAATACATGTTACCAAGATGTCCCAAGTGGCCTGTGGCCTAATTGTCCAGAACATGCCAGCAGCAGAAATGTAATGCATTACGCATATATATAGCCCATAAATAAAGTCCTCACACTTTCCGTCGCATGACATGTATTTTCATTGAACTGTATCGGAATTCACCTTCTCCACTGTGAATGGTTTGTCAGTCTGCCACGTGCACTCCCCCCCAAAAAAACTTCACGTTTGTGTACTGTACATGCATGTCTTTCTTGGGAAAAAAATTCCTGGTGTCACCGTGACCCAGTAGAAGATCTTTGTTAACACATGTACTTGAAAACATTTTGTTTGAATTGTGTTGTTAATTACTCTCTTGTTTGAACTGTGCCAACATACTTAAGAAGTTCATGCTTCAGGTGAATGAAGAATATTGCTTGAAAGTTCATGAACAACACTAATATAGGAAGGAAGTGTCATTTCAAGGGTGGTGCTGGTCTACTGCGAGGCTTCAGGCTACCTTAAAGTGTTTCATGTACATGTACTTCCACATCTAGACAATCTTATCCTTATCCCACTTTTTTAATTTTGTTCTGTTTCATTAGTTGAATCTGTATGCCAGAGTCTCCCAATGACCTATGTTGAGAAGATGCTGAGTTTTCTTGCTACTCAACTGGAGTCGTCAGCACATCTTGAGTTCTATCTGACCTGGTCTGAGCATATCTTGACCCTTCACTGCCCAAGCTTCCAGACTCAGTCGAGTTCAACACAAGCATTGCTGAGAGCACTGCAAAAAAGCCTGACCAGGAAGTTACAGGATCTTGGAAAAATGTAAGTTGTACTGATGATGCTTGTGACATTAGTTCTGTTTCAGGTTTTTAAGACCTGCAAGTAAAGAGGCCACCTGCATTTCCTGATGACAAATGCAGAGGACAAACTCGACCAGCTGTAGGTGGCTAGTAGCACTGGTTAGCAAGGAATTCGGGGTTGAACGTTTGCATACTGTCTGGAAGGCTTTTCGTGCCTTACAGCCAACATAGAATTTCTTGGCAATTGCAGTTGGTGTAGATTTGCAGGGTCTATGTACAAGCACAGAACTCTACATTACAGAGTCCATGAACTGGGCTCACTGTTATGCTCCAGAGTCATAGTGTGTGTCTAACAAGCAAATTTGATTACCACAATTCTTATGGCACATTACATGCATCGGATAAACAAGCAACTGAGAGTGTATGCCACATTTTGTCTGCCTCTAGTAGCCAGCTATAAATCGTGCTTAAACTAATTACACGAAGCTGAGCTCATTCAAAGCATGTTAGAGAGAGAGAGAGAGAACCGGTAGTAAGAGGCGTGTGGACCACGGTGTGTATGGATTGCACCTGCCTGCCTTGGGGACCAACACCCATGCCACTTTGTACCCCTTGCATTTTACACCATTGATTATCCATGACCGATCTCCAAGCCCTCGAGCATCATGGGAATGACAGCTGTTTGCTGGTGGTTGCCAGGGGAGCATATTGCGGTTGGTGAAAGGATGCCCCCAGGTGCATCTTGAGGGATGCCTGATGCCGTGGCAACATCACATGGTAATGGTGTGATAGAGTCAATCATCTGCCACGTTTTGCTAGTATTGTGTTTGCGTGAAGTGGTTGCAGCTACTTTCGATCAGTGCATGTGTCAGTCTTAAAAGTTTTGAAATAGCGTAAAAGACCAACTCCAACGATGCTAATTTTTCTCATATTGAATCCTATTCAGAAGAGCCAAGTCTAATGAAAGTGGCACATATCAATATTTCTCTAGTAATACATACGTTTGTTTTAATAAAACACAGTTTTTGTACCCATTTTTCCTGCAAGTAAAAATGGATGTGTCGTCAACTCATTAGCATCTAATGTTTATTGATTTCTGTGATGTATTACTGTGGAGAGGAAACACCATGGTGCATACGCTGTAGACGTGCATAACATGCAGAGTCATGGATGACAGCATGAACTTGAAGAATGTTCTCATTCTTCGGAAACTCGAAGAATTTCAAGTACATTTTTAATACATCCACCAGTGACGCACGATTTTGGCATTATTGTATATGCAAATCAAAAAGAAAGGAGCACAAACTCTCAAAAGAAAAGAAATAATGCGGCGCAGTAGACCCAGCACCCAGATCGATCCCTGGTGCACGGTGCATGTACATACATGCACCGTACGTTCGTAGCGGAACCAATCGTGCCAGGGATATCTCTTTCAATGTTTTCTCCAGTAGTGCATTGTACAAATTTTGTTTCTCAACAGTTCGCCAACGGTCAGATTGTGGAAATTTTTCGTAAAACTCGAAGACACCATTCAAATGTTTCGGCAAAATTACAAAAAATACAGGCACAATACTGTCATGATTTGGTAATGAGTATATGATTTATTACACATTAAAGACAATAATAGTTTATTATCAAAACTTTTGAAACCGTTGGAGTTGGTCTTTTATTAGAGACACTTAAGTACATGTATATATCGTTCAAATAATGGCTGCAAGATTTATTTGGAACTGTAAGTTGGACATAGACCTTACCAATATCATACTCTTCTACTGAAAAAAGGCTTTCCTGAGGCTTTTATTTAACATGAAAAGGTCTGTGTTTACATGTATTTCACCAAGTTGGGTCTGTCCAACCTTTAGATGCTGACAAATCTCCCTCCCATCCCTTGAACATGTTACCTGACTCGTTTGTGCCACTCCAAGTCATTCCTAGCCAATAACAGACCAGTTGAAGAGTCCATGATTTGTCCTGAGTTGTGACATTGGAGCTGTGCAAGGATGAAAGGCCGGCATGTGTGCGACACCCATATGTGAAAATAATGGCAACCCATGTAATGATACTCCATGAGGAGCTTTGAGAGGATGTAACCGATGCCCCAATAATGGTAATATGTGGCACTTTAATACTTGAATCCAAATGGGATTTCAATGGAATATGGAGGTGTGAAGGTAAATTTAACATGAATCTTGGGGAGATTAAAATGCAAATGCTGACCGAATTTCATTTAGAGAAGTTTTCGGCTATGAATTACATTTTGTACATTCAGAAACTTAATACTGGATCATACATAAGGTGGATATTAAATACATGTACATACACTACAAAACAGTAATATTTTGAATTCACCAACTACTGGTTTTCATTGCGGTTCATATAGGCTATGTAGGGAAAAGCCCATTGCATGATGGATCCATTCAGAAAGTTGTCCATTGATGCTGATGTACATGTACATGTACATGTGCTGGCGTATGGTATCTAATATAAGAAGTCTCATTTGACAAAGTTGATGTGACAGTATACCTGAATAAGTTGGACCTCTGCTGTGAACATTATTTTCATATTTGTTTATTGATACAAAGGGAATGGTATTTAAATATACATGTAATTGTGTAACTAGTGTGTAATTGAGGAAACCTTGAATATTTACAATGTAGATCTAAGCACCTCTTACTGCTGCCACTCAACATCCATACAGGTATACTTTCCACAGCCCTAAGAAATAGTTTATAATCAGTCTACCTGTAATGCAACCCTGCCATATCAAGGCTTCCTTTGTGTTGCTAGTCCACCGACTTACCAAGCAAAGTGCATAACTACCTCCGCTGAAAGCAATGGGCCCATTCCAGATAGCCGTTGCACTGCCATAACATTTCCTTTCACTAGGAATATGATTGTCCCCTAATTTGATATGAGGTTCGTCCCGGTGGCACAATACAGCTGCAGTTGTAGGTGGATCAGGTTCGCCAGCTTTCTGAGCTGTCGCCAGCCTTTTCTGGTTGTGCATAAAGAAAGTGCATTCCCTCCTATTTCGAGTCAGCTAGCTGTTAGTTCTAATAGGATCCGTTATGATTGACTAGTGTGGGTGTTTTCTCTCCACCTCTTCATTTTTAATTGTGCATAATCCTTTTTGTTTGTTGAGTAGACGTCATTTCACGTGAAAGGAATTCTCGTTTCTACGTCAGACTTTCACATTCCTTGTGGCATTGTTACTGAGCCCTCGTTCTCTTTGTTTGGGGGGTTGTTTTTGCTGTACCGGTGTGTTGCTACAATCTTGTTTCAAAATGTAAACTTGGCTGAAAGTGGTTGATTTGCTATGTACATATATACATGTACCTGTAGTACAATAAACTCGGTGATTCCTGGGCTTTTTAAAGAATGGCACATCTTAAAGATTTGGACACGACTCGTAAAAGAACAATGATTGCAATGAACTGATTCATTAATGGCATGCATATTGGACATGGCCAACACTTCCGCTTCATACCACTGAATGGACAGAGCAGAATGAGTTGAGTCAACTTTGCTCATCAGTACATGAAATGATTCCTTCAGAATACATTGATCTAGCCGGTGGGATCTTCAGTTCCGTAACCAACCAGAAAGAAAACCCTAAGTTTATTTAAGTCCTGCATTCCTTAGAAAGTCTACAGCTACATGTACATAGCCGGGTACGTGTGCATACATGTACATCATATTTCACATAGAATAATCTATATGTTTTTTCATAAATGTGACACTTTCAGTTCGGAATTCTTTTCATCTGTTTTTTACGTGGGTCTGTTTAGTGTTCACAATTTTTGCTTTCAAATCTAGTGTGAAAGTTTTTGAATCCATGTTTTCATGTTTACCCGAAGTGGCCATTAAGTGGGATTTTTTTTCTTCAGATGACATGCACACCTTTAGCTTTCATAAAGAACAGTTACGAGTATACCGGTATGTAGAAGTGAACATATACATTTAAAATTTATTACAGGAAAATATGGCAAAAACTCCTCATCTTCTGAGGGCTCAGGTATGGAATCTGCTTCTCTCCTTGTCTGCCCTAACAGTCCAGTAACATGCAAAAAAGGATGGCAGGTTTCAAGTAACATTTCTGCAGGTGATGGGTTTTTCATCATCAGGGAGGAATGCGACTGAGGATTTAATATCTGTGAGACACGGGGGCACAGGATCAAAATCAATGCGAGGGATTGGGAGGGTTTTTGTCAGCGAGGGATTCTACTGATCTCTGGCCTGGATGTTGAATATGGAAAGGCGCTAAGGGTTGTATGGAAAATGAAGTAAATCATGTCTTTATGTACTGGCATGTGGATCCATGCCTCTGATGAGTAGACTGGTGATAAAGGATCGTAATTTTTTCAAAGTTACATTATTTTGTGCAAAATTATGTGGGTGGGAAAGTTCATAATATGCACATGTTTGTAGTTACCAGTCTGTCTTTGTTGATCAATGCCATATTCTTGATTAGTTGAAGATAAAGTTAAAGGATCGGGGTCACACCTGCTAAGGTGTTATGTCTTCATTGGATTATTGATAGTCATGCCAAATTGGTCATGGGTGTGTACCTTGTAGGTGCATCAAATGTGTATCTTGTGACATTGGCATGTGTTTATGTGAAGTCAAGTTGTGTGAAGCAGAGCCAAGGTGACTGCCTCTATCATGGATCATGTGAAGATTGTCACAATGTAGATGTGCTAGACAGGATGACTGATTACGTGTTACAACTTGTATTCATAGGGCAAGAAGCATTCTTCCCAAAGTTTGGCATGAAGATTTAAGGCCAGTAGTTCCTTGCATGGGTGTAGTTATCAGGGTAATTCCAGAAACTAGGGTCCATTTTTTTTTCGTGTCCCTGTCACATCAGATATATGATTTTGTAAGTTCAGAACACATTTTCTAATTTCCAAGAGAGATGAATTAATGCAAATTACCTGCTGAGCAAACAGTAGTAGTTTGAAATCAATTCCGGTGATATTTCCATGTCAAATAACAAAGGTCAGATGTAACAAGGACACAAAA